TTAGTTTCAATAGATTAGTGTACAAGACATAAAGCAATTATCATCTTTGGCTCTGTCAGTGTGTGCTTTTATTGTTTAGTTTTGCTTTGCTTGATATGGAATCAGTGAAGCATTGGGAACAGTGTTATTTTAAGAGAACAACATAGCTGGAGTGTCCAGAACCTTGCTAAATTGTTACAGTGAGCTGAAATGCTTGCTGTCTCTCCTTGAGGTACCTTAGTCGGAAAGAAATGGGTTGCAGCAGGTATTACGTTTGCTTCCACTGAGATGTAGGGTAAAAATTGTGTCCTCTGCCACGGGGTCAGTGGTTAAGAAATTGTGATGCTATAGAGCAGGGCTGTGAGGAGCCATTTTGTCTTAGAGACTGGATGGCCTCTGGGGATCCTTTTGGTGGTCTGTATAATAGTAGATTCTTAAGGAAATCAAAAGCTCACTGGAAGGACAGATCCTGAAGCTGAGGCGCCAATCCTTTGGCCATCTCATGAGAAGACTCCCTGGAAAAGACCCTGATGTTGGGAAAATGTGAAGGCACGAGGAGAAGGGGTTGGCGGAGGACGAGATGGTTGGACGGTATCATTGCAGCAACCAACATGACTTTGACCCAACTCCGGGAGGCAGTGTTAGACAGGAGGGCCTGGCGTGCTCTGGTCCATGGGGTCATGAAGAATCGGACACGACATAATGACTAAACAGCAGCAACAACATGATAGTAGTGGATGTGTCTCTGCACCTAAAGAGTGTGCAGTACTATTTCTATGTTAAGCACTAAGATAGTGTCTCAAGGAGACACTGGCTCCGTGCCTTAGTAGCTTTGCCTGCTGTGGCCCTTTCCTCATAGAGAAAGAGACACAGAGGCTCTGAAACTGGAGGAGCTGCTTCTGAAGGCCCTGGCTTTCATCTCTTCTCTGTCTGTGACAGCGGAAAGAAACTGTGTGTGGTCGTCTGAGCTGCAGTCATGCCCAAGTCCTGTTTTAAGTGAAAGAAAAACTATGGATTTAGTTGTGTGCTACGCCTTCAGCATAACGTGCTGCAGGAAGATTGGAGGCCAAAAAGATGATAATCTCTGTCCCTTAATTCCCATAGTCATGTCTTTAAGCTAGGATTGCTCTACTTGCAAGAGACACCAATAGCTGAGCAAAGATTCCCCTACAGAATGTCTGGCCTCAGTTTCTGTCCCCACACCTTTGGAATCTGAGCTGATGATAGACATTGAAAATAGTGAACGCTAAAGCCTGCTTTTGACCTTTTTTACTTGCCAGAGCAGGAGCTCTGGTGATCATAATGACCTCAGCAACAAGATTTTTTGATATAGAGTAGCTGAGATGGAGTTTTTCCAAACAGAATTATATTGTGCAATCACCCGACTTGGTTCATGGAATTTTACTGGGTGATGTCAGATTTTGGTTGTTGTAGGTTTTTTTTTCAGGCTGTTTGGCCATTTTATGGAGGTTTTTCTTCCTAACAATACTCCAGTCTCTGTGGCATGTCAGATTTTGTTTCGAATCCTCCTGTGTTTTCCCACAGCTGCTCCCTGCCCCCAGTAAATACAAACATTAAGATAGAAAAAGATAATAGGTTCATCATGCCTTCTGACTGATAGTGATAGGAAATTTCTTTCCAGGGGAGACTTCTGTGATTCAACACCTTTTCTTTTCAATTTGTTTTGCAGTGAATTTTATGAACCTAATGCACTCATGATGGAGGAAGAAGGTGCCATAATTGCTGGCCTTTTAGTAGGCCTAAATGTCATTGATGCAAATTTCTGCATGAAGGGTGAAGATTTAGACTCTCAGGTGATGGATGTTTGTTTAAGAATGTTAACAGGGAGACCTAACAATCCAACTTATTGGCTAATTTCTTGATTATGGGCACTGAGTTGCTGAAGATGTTTCTCTGTGATGCCATACCTGAAATCCTGTTGATGCAGCTACACCTGTGGAAGACTGATGATGTCATCAGCAGGGTGATTTTTCAGAAATTAAACACTTCTGTCCCACAGTTCCTGTATAATCGCTTTCATTTTTTGAAAGCTGTAGAACTGGAATGGGAGGAAGAAGTCTTTAATTATAAATAAACAAATAAATTTAATTATAAAAATCACTGCTGTTGGTAATGTCATTCTCCTTACAGTAATTTTCGCTCATTAAATACTTCTCAAATTTTGGCTCCCATGGCTTCCTGATGATGCAATGGGTTACATGGGAGCAGAGGGAATCACAGATCAGAAGAATAATTTGCAGAGTTGAATAAATTGTCTATTTCTGTCTGCATTGTTGTGGGTAATGAAAACTATGTTCCCCTTGTGCTGATCTGTTCCGTTTTGGAAATGCTCCCTGTCGAGGGAGAATCGATTGGTGTCTTAGATATAAACACAGTTCTCATATTTTTTGGGTGCAGTCATGTTTCAAAATGCACTGGTGGCCTAAAAAACTGTGTAATCCTCCAGGATAATGAACTTACTTGCAAGCCATAGTGTGAATGCACACGGCTTTTCCCATATGTTTTCTTTGGAGTGGCTGTGCCAGAGTTTTTAAAAGCTAAAGGGAGATGTGATAGCTGTTGAAGATTTAAAAAAAAACAACACAAAGATCTGGAGATACAGCTGCTCAGTAGGGTGGTGCTCAGTTTGGTTAATGAGAAAAGTTACATGTAAGAAGATATCTCACATTGTCTAGTGTGAAGTATTACTATCTTCTGTTGCAGGTTGGAGTTATTGATTTTTCAATGTACTTAAAGGATGGAAACAGCAGTAAAGGAAGTGAGGGGTAAGTACTTTTCTCCATCCTGAAATAATGCTTCCCATACTTCTGTGAAATTATAATGCTTTGTACCTTTGGCTAGTGTGCAATTAAAGCTTTATTTATTGCTGCTGTTACTACTGGGACAAGTGATGGGAGCTCACTCTGTCGTGTGGATTCGATCTTATGACTGCTGATCTTCTGACCTTGCAGCACAGAGGCTTTTGCGGTTTCACCCGCAGCGCCACCATATCCCTTATCATGGCATATAATTATGATAAATATAACAGTAAAAATAATTCTATCTTCTTCCCTCCCTTATACATTCCTTTTTCTATAATATTTGGATACAACTGCTTAATATTCATTACAACCTTTTTTTAAAGGGACGGTCATATTACCGCAATTCTGGACCAGAAAAATTATGTAGAAGAGCTCAATAGACATTTAAGGTAAACAATAGTTTCAGATACTACGTATTACAGACTTTAAAAGATTTGATCAACAAATGTTTTGTTACTATGTTTCAGTACATTTACTCCAAATCTCTTTCATTTGTCAGTGCCACAGTCAACAATCTGCAGGCAAAAGTTGATGCGTTAGAAAAATCAAACACAAAGCTTACTGAGGAGGTATGTAGGAATGAAAGAAATGATTTTTATTTTTGTTCAGGAAAAAATCCAAATGTTGGGGATTAGATAAATTAGGCTCAGTGTGAGAGATAAAGAAATATCTAAATCCAAAAGTATTTGTTTTCTTCCAAACCACTGGTTCTGGTTTGTGTAGTGAATATAAACAGTGCATGCCCAAATAAGAGACGGACTTTATTTACATTTGTCCACAGGTAAGTTCCATATTCCCGCCAACCTAGCGGTTCGTCCCGCCAACCTAGCGGTTCGAAAGCATGTAAATGCGAGTAGATAAATAGGGACCACCTCGGTGGGAAGGTAACAGTGTTCCGTGTCTAAGTCGCACTGGCCATGTGACCACGGAAAGATTGTCTTCGGACAAATGCTGGCTCTATGGCTTGGAAACGGGGATGAGCACCGCCCCCTAGAGTCGAACACAACTGGGCAAAAATTGTCAAGGGGAACCTTTATTTATTTATTTTATTTATTAAATTTATATGCCGCCCACACTACCCAAAGGTCTCTGGGCGGCTTACAGCATTTAAAATACAATAAAGATGTGTAACAATTAAAATACAATTAAAATATATATAAAATTGCCATCGGACCCACAGCTAATATTATTTCAGTTAAAAGCCTTCTGGAACAGGAAGGTTTTGACCTGGCACCGAAATGTCATCAGTGTCGGCGCCAGACGAATATCAGTCGGGAGGGCATTCCATAGTCTGGGGGCAGCTGCCGAAAAGGCCCTTTGTCTACAAGCCATCCCTCTTACCTCCTTGAGGGACGGCTCTTTACCTTTACCTAAGTTCCATATGTTTGATTTGTAAGAAATGCAAGCTAAATGAATGATACCAAGATGTGAGGCTGGACCTGATGTACAGTAGCTGTGCCCAGTAGAGAACTGTGTTAGAACAAAGTCTTGTGGAGACCAGTAAAATACAAATAATGGAAATGGCTGGCATTCAGTTCTGCCAAGTTGAAATATTATTATCTTGTGAGAAGACACGATGGATAAAGTTACCATGGGATTACATGTTGCTAGGTAGGGTTAGGCCACCAAACATTCACTCTGCTGAGCATAGAATGGAAGGTGAGAAGAGGTGGGTGGGCTGGCCAGAAAATAAACGTTTCTTTTGTTAGTGAGTCTGGTGCACAGACGATAATGGCATGGCATCTTCTTTTGGGTTGATTTGTGACCATTGGAAATTGTCTCTACTGGAGATGGTGAGATTATTTTTGCAGAATCTCTCTAGCTATATTCTGCTAGAGAATGCCTGTAGCTGTAAGGTTGTGCAAGATTAATTTGTTGTGTATTCCATCATACTACAGGAGCATTCAGGTATTTTCAGCTTATATCCAGCCCTTTTTGTACATTGTGGTGCTGACTCTCACATTTTTCCGGACATTACCAAGAAAATATCAGTAGAAGAATGAAACAATAGTTTATTTGTTTACATCTTGCATTCTTCTTGATGCACAGCTTGCTGTTGCAAACAACAGAATTATAACTCTGCAAGAAGAGATGGAACGAGTCAAAGAAGAAAGTTCATATATTTTGGAATCCAACAGAAAGGTCAGTGGTGTATGCCTCAACAACCCCTTTTTTAAAAAGTGTGGAGGTAAATTGTCTCTGATGGATGTTTTAAATGCCTGATGTACTCTCAGAAGATACATAACACCAGAACTTGCAAACATTGGCTAGTCTTTACCCGCAAGGCAAGAAAAATAGAGAAGCTAGATTATGGATATTCCTTTGTGAGAAAGCAATAGTGACTGTATAATCACTTAAGAAAACTAATAAGAATAATTGTGTACCGTCAGGTCAGTGCTCACTTATGCCAACCCTTTTCAGGGCTTTCCTGGTAGGGAGTATTCAGAAGGTGGTTTAATATTCCCTTCCTCTTGTGACATTCTGGAAAGCAGCTTGCCCAAGGCTACCTAGGCTGGTTCCTCTAAGAATGCACAGTGGGGAACAGAAATCTCAGGCTCTGGCTCTGCAGACGGATATCTTGACTCACTGAGCTGTCCAGCCAGATAAGAAAACTAAATTGTGACTATTCCTGAAAGCTGTCACTGTCCAAAACAACATTCCAGACACTCTTCAACAAGGGCTATAGTATGGTAACTTAGAAAAATGTGCTCCCCAGTTTTTGAAAAGATAAAATCTATCTGTTACTTAGAACCGGCTTCACTTTGAGTGAAGCAGACCAGCTTGGTTACAAAATGAAACTAAGCCGTCTTTGGCCAGAATCCTGTTGACCTTCTGCTAAGTGGGAAGTGGCACCAGAGTAGTAACATGGGATCTGGCTGCTTTGTGTACATGTTGCCATTGTGCGAACATTGATCACTGTGAAGATAATATACTTTCTGCTTGCACAAACAGTTTAATCTCATGCTCAGTAGAATCCTGGCCTTTATATTGACATGGGTGGAGATAACTTTAGATGCTGTAGATGAGGTTAAAAAGTCAATAGATGCCAGACTGGGTAGATGAACCAGTAAGTGAAAGGGTGAATCTTCAAGAGAATCAAGCTTCAGCTTTGAAATCTTCTCTGTGAAATGAATATTCCCACTGTTGAGTGGCTAAGTTCAGTATTCTCCAAATCACCAAAAAGGCAAAATAGTTTTAGAGAATTTGACTTATAAGAGGAAGCCTCTTTTTTATTTTTCACTGTTGTCTATTTACACCTGAATTTTCATTGTCCATTTTAAAGACCCGTACTCTGACATTTAACTAACATGTGGCCTCATATTTCCCAGAACTAGTCGCCCACAAAGTGCAGACAGTAATGGCATTATTTAACCCCTGTTTATTGAATACCAAGATTTTCAATGTGTTTGTGTTTCTGGTCTGTTCATTGACAGCAGGCGACTAAGCAGGACAGAACTGCAGATGGACATGCCCTAAGTGAAGCACGGAAGCAATTGAAGGAGGAAACACAGTTACGGCTGGTAAGCTGGAGGAACTGGGTCTCAGATTTATATGGCTGTTCAAGGAGAAGCCCTGTGTATTATGACCAGTGGCACATTTTCCCTAGTAATGGGAGGAGAAAGGTTATTTTGTGGTAAGCTCCCTTTGGCTAGCAGAGGACGCCACTTCAGTGTGTTTGTGTGGGGTGGGAGGGGGCTTATGCATCAAGAAGCTGTCATATAGTGACCATGGCAACAGAGTCCTTCACCATAAGTAAAATTTTCTGCTTCCTGCCAAAATAGCAAGAATCTTTGCAACAATACAGGGACGTGGTGGCGCTGCGGGTTAAACCGCAGAAGCCTCTATGCTACAAGGTCAGAAGACCAGCCGTCGTAAGAGCGAATCCACGGACAGTTCAATGGATTTAAATGGGGAAAACAAAAAAATCACCAAAAATTAACGAAGACTCAGAACAAAGCCAAAATAAGTTTGCACATGTTTCACAAGGTGCACTACCGAATCCAAGCATTTAAAACAGGTTTCAAACATTTTAAGACACTTACAAATGAGCGGAAACGGAGATCGGAAAGCCATTCAAAAGCATTGCAGCCGGCTGCAATGCTTTTGAATGGCTTTCCGTTGGGGGAAACATTGTTTCACTTAGCGATGTTTCCTATGGCGATTTTCGCTTAAGGACGGTAATCCGTTCCCATTGGAACGGATTAACCGGTTTTCAATGCATTCCTATGGGAAATGGTGTTTCGCTTAACGATGTTTTCCCATAGCAATGGTTTTTTTGGAACCAATTAACATCTTTAAGCGAGGCACCACTGTATTTCTGCCTGTGATTTAGGATGTTGAAAAAGAACTTGAAGTGCAGATTGGAATGAGACAAGAGATGGAACTCGCCATGAAAATGCTGGAAAAAGACGTCTGTGAGAAGCAAGATGCACTGGTGGCACTTAGGCAGCAACTTGATGACCTCAGGGCCCTAAAACTTGAACTTTCTTTCAAGCTGCAGGTAAGCAAGCAGAGTAAGATTAAGTATTAAAAGCTCACTTGTCCCCATTTAATTTCTTTGTGGGACAACATGATGAATTTCATCATGGGAGATGGATTTGAATGTTTACTACCTGATGAGCTGTCAAGAAACCCTGAGACTAGTTTTTCACTGGAATTGCATAGCCAAAAATTGTTATCTCCTCCTGAACTTTTGTGGTATTGTTGGTATAAATATTCGTAAATAAGAATGCTCTAAAGTAGCACAACAGGGAGTTTTGAACCATTATCAGATTACTTTTATATGGAGAGTATACCTGGTCATCTTTCTATGACCAGCACTTTACAATTTCCCCATGCTGAGTTGTCTGGGCTGCACCTGCAGACGTCATGTTAGTTCTTCCATTAGAAGAACTGGGTAAAGCACAGGTGATGTGAGTTCTCCTGCCACCCAAGACTCCACACAAGAAAATGAAGTGTTGCCCCCTGTTCTGCATGGAGGGGGGGGGATGGAATGGGCGGTGGGTCCCTTGCTCTAGGCTTGATGCCTCGTTCCACAGCATTCTGTTCCCCTCTAATGAGGCTGGCTGGCTTGGAGAGGTCATTGTAAAGAGCCATAACAGGAGAGATGGCCTGAATACGTATTTGCCTGTTACAACCCTTGTAGCCAGATCTTGCTAAAAAGCTGGCCAGGCCAGTGACATTAGAGCTGAACAGAACAGCATGGAAGGGGACATCTTTTTCTGGTGGTTTGTGGTGGACTTCTACTGAGTTCTTCTGAAAGAATATGGGAGAGGGGCCAGTGGGTGGAATAATCAGGATAATGTTTGCCCAGTTTTCTGATTCTGCATCTTCAAATGTTCCGTAGTGTTACCTATTTTCCCTTGTTGCCTCACACTTCCATTTTGCCAGGTTTTGTGTTAACCTGTGTTGACAGGGAAACGGTACAATTATGAATCTGTGAAAATCTTGGTGCGCTGCTTTCACCCATAGAAAAGAAGACTTAAGAGGTCAGCTAGCACCTTCTAATTAGAGATTTTCTGCATTTCAGAGTTCAGATTTGGGAGCGAAGCAGAAGAGTGAACTGAACAGCCGCTTGGAGGAGAAGACAAACCAGATGGCTGCTACCATTAAATTGCTTGAACAAAGGTAGCGTTTAAACTTTTAAGCAAAATGCTTTGCGTATTTAACATACTCATAACCTCCCTGTTTTTAAGATGTTTGAAACTGGGGTTGCTTTTTAAATTTTGGTTTTGACAAGTCAGATTTCAGAATGGCAGTAGCCCAGTTGTCAGTGGCTACCTTTGCGCATTACCCAGTTGGCCCGGCTAAGCTAATTTTTTGCTAAATATAAGAGCTGTTGCAATGCAACGGTGATACTTATAGAATACAGAGCAGTGTTTACGTCTTACAGCAATGTGAAAGAGCTCTACCCAGCTGAGTTTATTATCTATCTCTCATGAAGAAAGAAGTATAAGCATTTTCCTGTAAGCCTTTATGTACAGTGAAAGGGGTCAATTAAGCAGACTGTCTGATATTTAACATGACGATGAACTGGATCTAACAATCTGGTTTTCTTACTAGGCTAAAGTGTGAGATTTCAGCATGTTGAGTTAACCTAGAGTAAAGAAAAATGTCCTCATAGGCATGATGAAGTTGTATAGAAATACTAAGAGTTGAGCCAGCTGTGCTTATTACATGGAAATGAAAGTTATATCTCAGTATATTTTGTATATTATACTGTTTTTCAGAAATACAATAACTGGTATCTGTTGAATTAACTGGTATTTTTTCTGCTGTCTATTTCCTCCCATTTCCCCCACCAATTCTCCCTATATCATTTTATGTCCTTTTCTCTTTTAGTGAAAAGGATTTGGTGAAACAGGCAAAAACCTTAAATAGTGCAGCAAATAAACTGATTCAGAAGCCCCATTAGGCTGTTTTTTTTGTTTTTCAGGTTTTGTTTTGTTTTTTGCAGCTGGTCACCTCACAACTCTGACATCTTTGTTCAGTTATGATGGAAAAGCAAAACAGAGAATTTAGATGTCAGACATAAGTGTTGTCTTCTGAAGTTGACTTGGAATTTGGTGGATTTTAAAGTAAAAAAAAATTGTTTTTGTTGGAAGTAGAAAAAGTAGCCCCTGAATCTGCCTGCTCCCATTTATTTGTTGCTTCAACTTTACTTAACTGCAAGCAATTTGACCCATAAGGACTCCAGGAAGTTAGAAGTAACATGTCGATTTGCAGTTCTGTACATAGGAATTGGTACAAAGTGTATAAAGCACAGGCTTTTTACTCTTGATGGGATGTTGGAAAAGTCTCAACCTTTTCCTTTTGCCCCCATGCTTAACTTCAAGGAAACACAAGGTCGTTCTCTGTTCACCTGGTTGTGAAGTTGATGAAGAATATATTACATGAGAGTTAAGAACAATTGAGTGCTGGCTGTGAGCAATGATCCTGCAGCTTGTGTGGCTCCATGGGATCTTAGTTCTAGGACGGACACTAGCCATACATTGAGAATTTGCCATATAATATAATCTTTTTTAAAACCAAAAGTTTGTCATCATTACACACTTCAGGACCCAAGATTTATCACAAATTTGTACAAATTGAAAATGTGTCTGATGTCCAGGGTCTCCTCATCACACTGCTCCGAGATACACCCGTTCCCAAATATCATGCTTAAAAATTGTTGTTGGATTATATACTCTTTCCCACGAGAGCAGAACAAAATAGGTTCTGTATGTCCTTGCTTAGATGCTGGCACTTTGCACCCTCTTCCAGTTGTGTTTGATGGTGACTGCCTTATTCAGTTATCTCCAAGTTTCTTTTTACATCATCTGCCCATTCATCTGATGGTAAACTCGTTCGTTTTAAAATAACCCGCTTTGCCTGGATGTAAAAGAAGGAAGCAGAGGAGCAAAGGAATAACCTAAAGCAGAAAATGCAAAATAAATTTGCACCCACCTATAATTGGAAAATTTGACAATCAAGGGAGAAGACAAAATGATAAATTAACGTCAGCCCTCTTGCATTAGGAAAACTTAATTTGCCCTTCTTCCTTAGGTGATGTGACTACAAACTTAGTTACAAGCTGTGTATTAAATTGGTCTATCTTTCTTATCTTCGCATTGCCTGCTGCCTCTGCCTTATTAAAAATAGACAGGGGTCTTCATTTTCTGAATGACTTTAATGATAGGTGTGTGTTAGCCTCTCATCCTTTTAGGAAAGTCAGAATTGTGTATTTTGCAAAACAGTTAATTGTTCTCTTGTTTAAATCACAGTGATTTACCAAATTATTATATGTCAGAGAGTACATGTGACTTATAATAACTTGGGCGTTATTTAAAGTTGCCTTCTGTTCTTGTTCATATTTGAGTCTTAAGTATTTGGTTCAGTCATGGTACTTGCAAACAGGTGCCACTGGGAAAAATGTGTTTCTCGTTAGGATAAAATTAGAATTTTCCTCCTGTGGCTGTAGGGGTTCACCGTGCTGGCCTCTATACAGAGTTCAGTGTGTAGGTGGTTACTATCAATACTTGTCAACATACCCAGACTGGGAGGTTAGATTCCTGCCTCATTTTAAATAGCCCTCCCTCTTTTCAGGCAACCCCTTTGATAGGGGTTGCCTGAAAAGGAAGAACCACTTTCAGAACACGGCCAAGAAGCCCGAAAAACCCACAACAACCATCAACCCCTTTGATAGTTTCTTGTTTTGATTTGAAGCCAAATGCTGAGATAAAATGACTGTAATAAAAATGGAAGAAATCAATCCTGGCCTGATTTTAAAATCTATGGGGCTGGGTCTCACTTAATTGATCCTTTAGCTTGTAAAGCTTTCTTTGACATAGCAACAGAGGTTTTGAAAAAATAAGAACCCTGAAGAATTGTACTTTGGTGTGGTATTGTTATAAGCATAACCCATGAATTTGGACCCAATTCTGTCTAGGCAGGGCAGACCTGTGATTAATTTATTTGAAAGGTCCTTGGATGCCACAGGTTTGAGGGAAACAGTTGTCCTCATCCTTGTGAAATAAAGTTCTTGCCTGAGAAAGGGGCCCATGAGGCACCTCAGTGGCTGTGGGACACCCTGATTTCAGTCATCCCATGGACCGTCTGCTGTGAGTGGAGACCGTTTCAAGTTATTTCTGCTTCCAGTTTGAGAGCAGAGGGCTTGGCTCCCATTGGGAAAGAGGCACCAGTTTATTTTGCTCATGATTTCAGCCCTGGGAGAATGGGGTGCTGGCTTCCAGATAGTCTTCTCTGTCCCACATACTTGTTTTCGTTTCCTATTTTGCAGTCAGACACACATCCAGTCTGAAAGATGTGCTTCATAGTTCACATGGGCACATCCTATGATCGTTTCCATATAGTGACAGATTTTTTTTTGTTCATGTTCTTTGAAACACATAACTCCCCCGTGTGCATTCTGAGGAGAGGTGTGTAGGACTCTGACATGTACTTGATTGGATTTTTGAGTCTACTCCCACAGGGCATTTCATGGTTGGTCGGGCTGGCGCGGAGAGTTTCAGTTCTTTGCTGAGGGGTTTCCTTGACTTGCACACCTTTCAGTAAAGCCGTTGTGCTGAACATTGCCAAACGGCTCGGAAAATACATGTGACTTGCCCCCAGTCTCTCCATTATAGAAATATAATTTTGCCCAGTCCCATCTGCACAGCTGTGCCAAAAGTAGGCTGGGAAGCCTGAATACTCTTTGTACTCGATCTGGAACAACCCTGTGTTGCTTAACTTGATGTAACAGTTGTGTAAGAGGCCAGACTGATGCACTAATTCCTTAACATCGTAGATACACCATGACGCAAGTTCCAGTTACTTGTATAAAGCTGCAGTGTAAACGTAAATTTTAAAAAAAACACTTACAAATACTGTGTACCTGAGATTTGCTTTGACTATTGATAAAAGTGATGTTTTATGTTTATCTAATGACTGTAAGCTGTAGTAATAGAATAAAAAAAATTGAAAATAGCTCTTTCTGCCTGGTTCACCTACATTTTGGGAGGTTTTTTAAAAGATATTATTTGTCCTTACTTCCTATTCCCACTTCTTCCTCTTCATCTTTCATTAAAGTTTTTTTTCCCATTTATTGTTTAAACTCAGTCTTCCTCCCCACCATGGCTTTTGTTTTTTATCACAAGTTCATGTGGCTCAAATCCAGATTGCAGCAATCCGAGAGAGAGCGCCAGACTCTGGAAGAGGACAATCGGCTCTTCAAGCAGGAATTTGGGGATAAGATCAACAGCCTTCAGCTGGAGGTGGAACAGCTCAGCAAGCAGCGGTGAAGAATCCTTTGATTTTGGGGAGAGTATTTCTATCGGGCGAGCTTTCCCCTGCTTGATAGGGCATTGTTGTATATAGGGCAGGATTTCTTGCATGATGTTACAGGATATAGTCTTCCAGAGTTTGCATGATGGTTGGTGTGATTCCATAGATCCCTGCACATGAGTGGCCATTTACACAAAGCAGTAGGTGAAGGCTGCAACAAAGCAACCTCTACCCCTTTTAAGAGTTGTCTTCTCCAATCTTCAGTTGCAACCTGAGTGCCTCCTAGTTAGTCATGCCGGTCACCCAAATATGCGAGTGAGCATAACAATACATAGAGTTCTTAAACAGTGCTCATGTTAAATAGGTGCCTCTTACGAGCACCCATTCAGTTCACCTTATTCCCCAACAACTTTTCTTTTCGCTGACCATACAAAAATTCATCTTGATCCACTACTGCCTCTTTGAGCAGCAGATGTTAGGCTCTGAATAGACTCTGTAAATCTATAAGAAAAGCAAGTGATGTTGACGCAGAATATGTTTCGTAGCATGGGAATTGTGGCCAAAAATGGGTCACAGAAAAAGGTGCACAAAGCACTTGTGCCTTTTTGCATATAAACCTCAGTGCATTTTTTAAATTACTTAATAGTAAGACAAAACAAATAAGAGCTGAAATAGCAATACAATAGATCTGGACACAGAACTGTCATATTGCAAAAGCAAAGGAAAAAATGGAAAGGGGGGAAGCGAGAGAAGCAGAGCGAAACACAACACAAGCCTACATGTAGGCTTTCAGTGCATTGTGGTGTGAGTTAGGCAGAGATGGTGTGTGGTGCAGGAGAGGGAGATTAGTAGAATCAAAGGAAAGCGGGGCAGTTATTTCTGATAAGGTGTGTGTTTTCTGAAATTAAGTGACAGACATGGACGACAGAGAATCTTTGGGCCTTTGAAACTTTGGGAAGCAGCAGAAAAGAAATTTGCTTGCTTGTCTTGGAGGAAGGGTGTATGGTTTTGGATGATCAATTGGTGCTTTCCGGACTGAAGAGATTGCAGGATACCTGCAGCCTGGAACTGCCTGCCTTGCAGTGGGATTTCTTTCTCTACATGTGTTTGCCAAGAGGTGTTGTTTCTAAAATTCTCCGTCTCTGACAGATAAGGATGAAGTTGCTTGTCTTTCTGCCAGTATAGCTTTTACTGAGGCCAGTGGGTCGAAGCTTGTTTCACCAACACGTTTCCTCTCTCTCTGCTCTTCCCTCAGGGGACAGCTTGAACTGGAACTGAAACGGGAACGAGACCCAGGGTCCCATTTCCACCATAGAATTCAAGGAAACAGAAGCTTGCACAGCCAAAACAGAAGCTTCCGAAAGGTTGGACTGGAAATAATGATGTTCCTTTTAAATGTTGCTTTCTGCATAACGGTAGCTTAATTTCAGTATCCCTTTTAATCCAGACAGTTCAAATTCTACTTACTTCCTCACAGAGACGTTTGTGTTTCTTACTCATCATACTAGTGTCTGCTGCAATTGGACTATTCTGTAGCGATGAAAAATAGTGCGTTTCTTACACAGTCAGACTATGGGAGCAGTGATTAGGGGAATTGGCTGTGCTCCAGCAGAGGTGTTTCTAGTAGACAGTCCTGCCATAATACATAATACTCTTAGGGCCTTCAGTGGGTGTTTCAGTCTTAAATTTTTAGGTGCATAGCAGGCAACATACTTGTAAAGGTGCTTTGAGAGAAAACAGAGTCGGATAAGTGTGGAATTCCATGCTTCACGCTAATGTTACCTGAACAGAGCCATGTCTGATTTTGTTCTAAAGGATGATAATGATGATGATGATGATGATGATGATGATGATGATGATCCCAGAGCTGGAAGAATGACCCTATGTATGATTGAGCCCAGGCCTGTTGAGGAGGGCCCGTTGGGGAGTCAAATTCCCAATCTCTGACTCCACAGCCAGATGATGATGATAATCCCAGAGCTGGAAGAGTGACCCTATGTATGATTGAGCCCAGGCCCTGTTGAGGAGGGCCCGTTGAGGAGTCAAATTCCCAGTCTCTGACTCCACAGCCAGATAACTAAACCACTGAGCTATCCTCACATAGGCAAATGCATTCATGTGGCAATTTCAGTCATCACAATCCGATTCTGATACTTTATTTGATTTCCGGATCTTTGTGTAATAATAGGTGGATCTACAGCAGGTAAATGTTTTTAGATGTTCTCTGGATTCATACTGGTAACATGAAAATACGAGTGCTCTTTTTGGTAGGAAGGGACTCTGGGACATTCTGTAGGTATGAGCTGGAATAAAATATAGTGCCTTTTCATTTGGCATTCTACCCTGATTTCTTATTATCTGTCTCTTTTGACAGGATGCAGGAAATAAATTCTTGGAAGGAGATGCCCAGCAGAAAATACCAGTGAAAGATGAGAAAAGCAAGTATGGACTCATTAAAGAAATTTACATTTTTTGTTTCACTGTAAAAAGTGTGGGCAGTTATGATCAAGGGGGTCCATTCTGCAGCTTTGAAATAACTTCTGGGGTGATTTCTGTGGTGCCTTCATGTGCATGAAATCATCTGTCATGTTTGATGTAGAGCTTTCTTGCAAGCTTACCCTTAAAAGTTCCAGTGGCACTGCATTTGCATATATTGGGTTTTTTTTTTCTCTCCAATCAAGTGCCTTTAGAAACCTCTATGGTATTATCTAATTACCTGTTACATAGAAAGTGACACATTTTGGGAGTATTTTATGCTTACATTCATTGTAAATGAAAAATATTTGCACAGATGTTTTGAAAAGTTTTTGTTGGCTACATTCAGTATGCCAGGTATGTGGAAATACAAAACTATGGTGATAAATCAGATAAAATATAATAGTGTGGATTTTCTAATTAGTGGGTGAAATGGCATTCTAACTTAGTTCCTTGTTTCTATTTCAGAGTAGCTCACAGTCTGCAAGAGGAGCATGTAAGTGATTTATTTTGAAAAGGTATCTGGGAATCTTTATAATTCTGTATGGCCGATGGCTGAAATCCTGTTGCTTTGATAGCCATGCAGAAGGCAAACGGTGTAACAGTCAGTTGCATCTACCTGGCAGCTAATGAGTCCCCGCTGGGATTCTCCAGTGGGGACTCATTAATTGATAACTAGATGTGCGTAAATATTATGCTGCTTACACTGTTGTATTTTCATAAGCTGTTTCTTCACTGAACAATTATGCCCCATTACTTTTGGTGCTGTACTCTAGTACTGTGATGTCCTGTGTGGAGATTACGATCCTCTTTGTTCTCAGTGTACTTCTGTAGTTTTAAGCAATAGGCATTCGATTTGCTTTGACTACTTAACCTGCTGCAGCAAAAGTGCAGTTAAGCTGTCTACGGCTATGTTAGTAGCATCAGTTTGCTTTCATAGCTGTGTAACCCTGAGAATGGCTACTCTGAGCAACAACACTCAAATTTGCCTATATACATGTTAATAGTTAAGAATACAAGGAATACAGAAAATGAAACTTTGGATATTTCAGAGTGTTGTGTATTACTAGAAATAAATATGAGCTTCATAGGTTCCCAGAGTGGTCTATATGGATCCCCAGGGGTCGATTTCAACTTGCGGGGTGGTGGTGGTGGTGGTGGTCCATATCAGAGAGAGAGAAAAAAATGGGAGTGCACGAGATGTAAATGGGGGTCTACGTGAGCAGATCCCATTAGGCAGATCATAATAGCCGATCCGTAATTACACCAAACACAGATTCTGTGTACATACTATTTCATAATATTATTTAATTAGGTACTGTGTACTATCTGTATTGTGGTGTGCTACATTCATGTGTAAGTTCGTAAAATTATTGGTAAAATTTTATGGTAAATATTGCTGTGTTATAAATGGGATCAACAACATGTTGTCATTTCTCATTACTGAGCTATACGGGCACACACATTGTTTGAAGTTAATAGGTTTAGGAAAATGCGATATTAGGTAGGCAGGGGGTCTACGGGAAAACAAATAAGTTGGCAAGTGGTCTACGGTGCAAAAAAGTTTGGGAACCTATGGCTTAAATATTCCAAGTATAGATTTAAAAGAAAAACTGGGTTGTTGAATTTGGACTCTGCAACTGTTCAGAATAGGAGGGCATTAGCAAACTGAAACTGAAAAATCCACATGAAGACTTGCTAAGAAAAATACTGCAGTCTTTCTGTGCACTTAAATGGGAGTAATTTTTTTTAATGATTTAGGAGCAGCCTAGCCTTGGAAAATCAGAGCTCTGCCAGCTGTGTCAAGAAGAAAGCACTCGGAGCAAAAGAAAGGTGAATACAAAGCAACAAGTGGATCACTTGTTCTTTCTTCTTTCTCAGTTTGTTTCGAGAAAGAAGAACCAACATGGACATTCCATTTTGGTAAAAATGGAAGATACATTCTTTTCTGTTGTTGTTTGAGTCAAACGTTCATAGCCTGTTTTATAAAGCTTTGAACGGGAGTATGACAGAAACCTGAGCCTAGAAACAGGGGAGGATATTAACTTGAACGAACCCAAGCATTAAATGTTGTGAGATTCCTTTCCCTTGGCAACATAAAGGTGTGTGATTCTGCTTCTAATTTCCAGGCTCAAGGCTCTGTTATTTAGGAGGCAAACAACAAGACCAACCTAGAACTGAAATAACAGCTGCTGGAAGTTTTGTTTCTCCATTGTGAAGAATATGTTTTATGGGTGAGCAAGGTTCTCAACTCATGTTGCTCTTCCTTGCTTCTCTCTGATTCAGAACATCTGCAAGAACTGCAGTGGAGTCTTCTGCGAAGATTGTTCAGCAAATGAACTGCCTCTCCCCTCCAGCATATACCCCGAATGTGTCTGCAACCAATGCCACAAGCATTTGATACAGCAATATTCAGCAAGCCCCTCCTAGGATTCTGATACCGGTGGACAGCAGTTTTGTTAAGCGTAGCTTAATTTAGCAGTTGATTCCATCGCTGAAACCTGGCTGGTTCTCCATCCTTCTGGAGCTGTCTGGGAATGTTTTCAAAGCAGCAAATTTACCTGCCACTGCAGGACTGGAGCCATAGGGGTGCATGCAGTGGCATTTAGTTTTAAATGTGTAACATTTAAGGCTCTCGGGTGAATTGCTCCTTGAAGATTTTCATTGTCTACTGTGGGCCGTGTGATTTTGTGCTCCCAAGTTCCTGTATTAAAACTACAGTATCCTGATAAAAGATGTAATGATGACTAGTTAGCTAGCAACTGTTGTTCCCACCAGGGCACAGTGGCACAATGCGAGCTTGTGTGTTCTTGGCAAAAAAAGAGAAAAAAAAAGAATTTTGCCTCCTTTGGTT